CGTATTAGCCATTTTCTGTGGTAGAAGCTGAAAAGCTGTGAATAGCAGTAGAGGAAAATAAAACATAAGATGCATTTCATATCAGTGTTCCCCTTTGTAAAAACCACGACGTTTGCCTTGTGAAAGTTTCGAGTTCTGTTGGTGAAAGAGGGCTCCTGCCCCAGCCTTCCATAGCGGTACCTCCTCCAAAGGTGGCTTTACCTCCCAAGAGCTCTCAAACGTTAGCGCCAGTTCGTTCTGCTGTTCACTCCATGATGCTGCTCTGTCCACCCACAGGTCCACCTGGCCATTCCTTTTGCCTGAAGCAGGGTCCACTATTGCTACATGTCAGCACCCCGCCCTAGGCCAGATACAAACCCCTCTCTTCCCTCTCACACAGGCAGTCTACGAAGCAGTGTGAAAAAGTCTCCATTCTGTCCAGCTTTCAGAGATAACGCTTTATTGATTATAAACACCCACGGGGAGAACGGAGACACTCAAAACAAAAGAGCTTCTGATCTACATGAAGAATACAGCTAATATACATGTCTTTAAGGTTTAATATAAAACCCAGTGTATTTACACTGCCAACTTCCAGTCTAATCCCACATAAAAAAAAATCTTCATGTAAGTACTACAAGCAAGATGAAACACTGCTTGTGTTTTACAAAGATTGTGTATTTTCATTGCCTAGGATCAAGGCCACAGGAGAACCCCCCCGAGGACAGCACACAAGTGCCCACGGAGAAGGAGCAGCACCAGTTAAAACAGCCTTGGGTGGAAGGTCAGGCAGAGCAGAGTTGTACAAGGGCACCTTTACCCATTCCACTGGGACAGACCATGAAGCGTTTCCTTGGCATCAGTACCAAAGTAGAAATGCAAGCATGTGTTTTACAAGCACCTCACACCGGTAGCCCATCACTCCCACTTATATTACCCACCCCCTCAAACAACTCCAACTTTTTGAAGTCAAAAGACCCAAGTGCTCAAGTTACAGAATGCCACGGCATTTTACTGTACTCCATTAGTAGTCCATTTTTATAAGTAAGACAATAGCAAAACAGCTCATTCTCTCAAGATTAAAGAGATTTTATCTTTTTTTTTTTTTCAAATTCTTAATCTCTTATTTTTCAGTGAAAGAACCCAGGATTCAATTTATGCACTTTACTTAACCGAAGCAATCAGGGATGAAACACATTCTCATTTCCTTCTCTTCATTTCCAAACTAGAACTTCTTCCTACTTTACCAACATACTTACTTTTAGACAAGCTACAAAGTCTACAACCAATCTTAAAAGTATCAAGAACACAGGAGGGAGGAGGTGGTTTGATTTTTGTTGGCTTTGTTTTGGGTATTTCTTAATTGCTAAAATGAAATTACAGCTTTCAAGGATAAGGCAGAAAAACCACCTTTAATAACTACTGCTGTGCAAGAGACACACTAACCTGTTCTTTAAGTCATCTGTAGACACTACACCAGCTAGAATGTGACTTTTGACAAGTCTTCCTTTGTAGTGTTGCACATTCAAACTAGAAGTCTTATTCTACAGGCAAAATCCCATTCAAAAAAAAAGCCAGAAAACCACTCAGGTCAAATATTCATATCAAGTCTGGTTACTTTATTTTTCATCTGTGCAGTCAGTTAAAAGAACAGTTAACGGTGAAAATGGACAACCACAGAAGCTTTAGATACAGTATCTTAACACTGAGGAAGCAAGTGACCACATTGAACACATTCTTTACACTGGTCATTTCCAAACAAAACAGAAGTACATACACAGGTCTAGTTCAGTGTAAAACTTGATATTAAGCAGCAAGTTGCTCACAAATTGCAGCACAGTATATGGCATTTACCGCAAATAGCTACAGCAGCAGTGCTTAGTGGATGAACTGCATAGAATTAGCCTCATGGGCAAACATTAAATCACCACGGTAATAACCTTAGTGGCTCCCTAACAGGTCTGAATTATGCAATTCGGCATGAACAATATTGTTTACATGCCTCAAATTTTAGCAACAGCTTTTGTATTTTTTTCCACCAGTCTACACTGTGTTTATTCCAGCCTTCATTGCAGTAACTGTCTTCAATTAACTGTCACATACAACATAGGTAATTACTGCTTATTCAAAGTTACACAGCCCCTTCAAAGGTGATATGACTATATTTAAAATAAGAACCCAAAATACATTCAAGAGAATGGCTGCAACAATAAGGCAATAAACAGTTTAAAAAATAGATCCTACTAAGCAAGACAAGACCAACTGTGTAACCTGTTGCCTTCGTGAGGTTTCAGACTTGAATGGGTCAATTCAAAGTTAAGTGCTTACCCACCAGCAACATTTCAGAAGTACATTGGTAAAAATATTCAAAGACATGAGTATATTGGACTGCCAGCAATCACAACCCAGGTCTTATCACAAGTATGCTTTCACACATACAGCTTCACTTTTACAAATTTGCATGAAGTGCCCCGTACAAAGATTCTACTACAGACTCATTCAGAAAAAATTATGCATTGGCAGAAGACATAAGCATTCCAAAATTCTTCCAAACGGCATAATATAAATAAACCTTTGGCCTGCTACTAATAAGATCATTAAAGTTATACACTAGGCAGACAGCATTATTGGCAGCTATGTCACAGCAACATTAGAAAAATAGCATCAGCTGTTTAAAAAAAAAAGACTGAAAATAACTTTGGGGAGTGAAACGTACACCTACACACAGCAAGGAAGGGAGAAGGAAGTTGTTTGGCTAGAGCAGGTGAGCTACCCAGAGGTTCCATGTCCATCTTATTGCATATTTGATCAGTGTCAGCATTCAAACCCACATGGGTTCTTCCTTCATTAACTTGCTCCAGAGTCTTGATTCTTGCACCTTTAGAGCTACCCTGATTAGCTATGTATATTGCTGTAACTTCACATTTCTTCACAGCTACTAGAAACAGAGACCAAGTTAAATGTTACTGATCTCAGCTGGGAATACTATGAGCATCAGCCTTTTGCTATCTTCTGTCCGCTAAAGTCTAAGTAAAAGTGAAATGCAGTGGAGTGTCTGTATCTTATGTCAGTACCAAAAAAAAAAAGTCTTTATTTGTAAGCCTATATTAGCAAAGCTCAAGACAGAGATGCTAAAGAGGTTTCTTAAGAAAAATGTACCAGTACTTGGCTAGCACTGCTAAACTGAAAGTCTCATCATGTGAAGACACATAGACACAAGAATATTGTGACATTAGGTTGTGCAAGGCAAACAACTGAAAGCAGCAGGGAATAAAATCTGATTGCTTCTGCTCAGTTTGAATAAATAGGAATTTTACCAATCAAAAAACCACCCCATCATTAGGCATTCCTTGCCAGCAGACAGGACAGAGGAAGGAGACTATCAATATTTCTACGTGCGTTTAAAGGATATGTGCCTAGCACTGCCTAACCATGCTTAAAAATGTAACCCTGTAATACAAAGCATGCTTATACATACAAAACAAAGACTTTTAGACTCCAAAGGAAGGTCAGGGCTGATCCTATATATTTTATGAAGTGAATGTTCTCACTAGCTTTTGAACAGTATTCACAGATGACAAATTAAAACATAAAGGCACTAAACGAGTGCTGTTTTCTGAGATGTAGGCCTACTTGACAAAAAAGCTAAATGTTGCTGCTTTTAGCCATATAAATGAACCAAACCACAAGTTTGGATGTCATAGGTTTAAATTTCTCAACAGCTCAAAGTACAAGACCAATTTTGTAGTCCTGTTTAACAGTTTTTATAGAGAGAACAATGATCCAAACACCACCACTTGGAAAGCTTTGAGAGAAAACTGAAGCTGTTCATGACAAGACACGTTGGCAGTTCTCTCTCATACACACATCAGAGGTGGTACACGCATGTTCCTCCTCTTTCCAAAGATCTCACGCATCAATCTTCAGAGCTGCTAGATAAACAGAAGTCAAGCTCTTCATTCTGAAGTGCAATGTCAAAATAGCTGTATAACTCATTCTCAAAGAAAACAGGAGCAACTGCTTGTTACCAGTAAAAATCAGTAAGTCCTCCACCAAACATGAGGTACCGAATTCATTGCTATAACACTATCAAAGTGTTACAGTGATGTCTACCAAATTGGTCAGAATGCCTTAACTGGTTCCAGGAAAGAAGTTATGTCAGGTACCATATACCTGATGTAAAGGTGTACAAAGTGAACTAAAGAAGTGTTTCGTATCCAAAACCCAAATATGACACTTCAGAATACTAAACAGTGAGTACATAACCTAGGCACCTTCCCCTCTCCAACACAAGTTGGACTTAGAGTAAAAGGTTCAGGAGAAACATACAGAAACCTAGCAGGACTGTTTAACCTGTAACCCTTTGTATGTCAAAACGAAGTAAACAGGTCTTACCACCCAAATCCTTTTTTTGCCCTTTTTTTTTTTAAGGAGATAATAAAAACCTCCAAATCAGGTGCATGTAATATTGATTTTTCGTATTTTCTTTACACTTTTTATATATATAAAGAATGTAACTAAAAATCTCACTTTAGAATACTTTCTAAAGCAGGATATTCTTTCAACTGTTTTTCAAGTTCACATGCATTCTCAAGGTTGAAGAAAAAATATATTCATATATAGCTAAGGAAATAAAACTCAATTTCACTATATGTAGTTACAGTGCTGTAAAGAAAAAAATAATTTAGAAACCATTTCAAGTCTGAAATGTTTACTATGTTCAGACTAATGCAAAGGCTAAGCCTATGGTCCAGGACCTGCTTTTAATCTGTGTGCAGAGATAGGAGCTACAGCAGCTTAGTATTTTTCCAATAGAGATTTCCTTTCTCCCAGTATTCTATGACTTGCTGCTGAAGCCCTCCCTGAACCTCTACCGAAGTAGTGTACATTGGTAGTTCAGAAGTAAAGGTCCACAGGTATTAATACTACCTCTTAAGTCAGTTTTTCAGTAAGATCAAACCACTGAATGACACAGTGCAGAGGTGCTTAACCATTCATAGTCAGAAGTTCAATGAAGTACTTTAAGTTGTGTCTTCTGTAGGTGCCCTTCGCTGCCGAGCAGATTTCTGTCTACCTCTCTGAGGCGAGGGTGGAGTCTCCTGTTCAGCTTCAGTCTCCAAAGGCTCGTTGTCTCCCTGTTGGGACCCTGTATCGCCTATCAATTCTCTCAGGAATTTGAATTTAGATAAAAACAATTGCCAGACCACGTACCAGCCTGCAGGAGAAAGAAAAAAAGCACTGCTTAGTTACTTCATACAAACTGACAGTCAGCTCTCAGGCAAAGTATACCAGAAAGTGAGAAAAGATTTGATCATCTGTCATCCTCTAATTGCCAACTCTCAACCCCAACACACCTCTGCAACACACCCACCCCTTTCTACAGTCCCATAAATACCAATTTGATTTGATAAAGTTTGTCCTCATCCGGAAGCAAACATTTAAGCTCCAGGCAAGGACCTACACATTCCAAATTGTACTGCCACAGCAAGCAGTAGGTGGGTGATCACCATTGCACAGATAAGGGTCTTAACTGTCAAGAGAAAAAGGAATTTCTGTGGTTATACCTAAAACAAGGAGTTAGGATTCATTACACAGGCACCATAAGAAGGTAGCACGTGGGTTTCTACCCTCACTCAAACACATCATTCTGAAAAATCACATTTTAAAAGCTGCATTACATAATCACTATTAAGCACGCTTATGGAGGTCTTGAAATTAATACCATGTTTTATAATAAATCCTATTCTGACATGCACAAGGTCTTCCTTATCATGTTCACTAAAAGACCACATCCCCCAAATTCAAGGTGTTCCCTCACTATGCCCAAATCCCATTAAAGTAAAATTAACATTCTCTGGTAAATATGTGTTCTGCTCTACTGCTAGAATGCTCTGGGTCCCAAAACTATGCAAGTAAAGAGTTGAGATGGTCACATTTCTAGAATATGTCTTGAAAAATATTTAAGATCCAGCTCCTCCAGTGTTTCTACAACAGGTAGCCAAGGAACTTAAAAAAAGCAGATATAAATATATCTAAACCTAAAGAAGAATCTTCCTTTTAAAAGGTCTCCCTATCTAAGCATTTAGGTCAAGAGAAACTGCAGTTTTACCCAGCTGAGAACTAGTGATATCCCTTTCCCTCTAGCTAACCAGTGAAGTTACATTCCTATTTTGTGGATGATGAAACTTGTCTGTGAAATACAGTTAAACAGCATAAAATTTAAACAGCTATTTGAAAACATATGCTAGCTATGCATCATTTGCAACACCAGAAACCATCTGTCTTGCATAGAGCTATAAATTAATACTCCCATTCTCTGTTCAGAAGGTCTTGCTAGCTGTTCAAGCCTACACTGCTGACCTACACGAGCATTAAGAGCCCCATTTTATAGAGCTAGGGAAACCCGTCCTCCCAATTACACAGCTGTCAGCAGAAACAGACTTCTGAGCATGGACAACAGGGGCATATTAGGGAAGGGGAAGAAACACTAACAAATGGCACTTGTGTAACCACAGCACCACTATTTTTCTCCCTCTTCTATAATCAGTCATGCCAATACGAGCAGGCCTTTTTAGGACAAAACAAGATCCCACCCTTCCCCTCCCTCCTGGAATACTTTTCACATCCTGCAGACTTTTAATTTCCATAACTTCTGTGCTGCTGAGGACAGTTGGAGGAAAACTTTTATATGACAATCTTTTATGGTCTAAATTAATTCCTAAAGCCTACACCAAGTATTCCCTTTTTCCATTAATACCTAAACCTTTAAACGACTTGTGATTAAATTGAACCTGATGTCCCACAAATGCCTTAAATCGCTCTGCACCTAGCAAAAACCTCAATGGCAGATGTCTGGCTTTGGCATCTTTTTTTCTTTCAGATCTAGAAGTAAAAATTGAAGTAGCGTCTCTTTGAAAGTTGTTTCCATTGAGGGGAATTTCAGGTCTCTGGAAGCTTCAATGCCTTGTGCATTCTGAAGACTATAAATCAATCCGTTCTCTTCATGGGTCTAAACATCTTTAAAAGCATTCAACTTTCCAAAAGCCATGCTCATTCCTAGTCCAAATGGGAAAGAAAATGCATAAAATATTCCAAGTGAATAAAGCAAGTTTGCAAGAAAGTGAGACCTAAGCAGAATATTATTACAAGCCATTTAAAAATGTCTTCAACTCCCCAATTTGTTGACAGAGCCAAAGCTTGGGACACTAGACTTAGAAGTGCATGAAAAGCATGCAGTACATTCTACTAAATCCACTTAAGCATTGCGGGGGGGGGGAAAGGATGGACAACACTGTTAGCCACAGATTGGTTGGTTGGGGTTTTGTTTGTTTAAAATCCTACCTAACACACCTGCAAAGTGAATTACTGTGAAACAGACACATTACTTCCAGAGAACATCGGGGCAGGGGGAAGCCAAAAGTATTCAGGGCTTGCCCAAAGAAAGAGTTATAGGGCACTTTACAGAAGCACAACTGGAATATATGTGCTATAAATAAATACCCCATTAAGGGAGGTATTTTAACTTAGGCTAGATAAATCAGACCACATGCTTCCTCTATCATGGCAAACAGCCCACTTAACACACAGAATTACTATTGGGGGGGGGGAGAGAAAGAAATGCGGAAGAACATTCCACTTCATTCTCAGACACTCTCAAGAAAAGCAGCATTAATTTTTTTCAGTGTTTGGTTTGAGTTAAAGCACAATGGTCTGAATATTCAAAATACCAAGTGCCATAGGTCCGAATATTCAAAATACCAAGTGCCATAAACAGACTTCAGAGCTCTCCAGCTCAAGACAACAAACAAGACAGCATAAATAATCAGCCAACAAAATTGGTTATAGTCAACAAACAACCAGACCAGATAATAGACAGGTAAAACAAACCACAATGCAGTGCATTGAAAAGAAAATTACAACAGGCTTAGCCAATGATAACAGTAGGAAAGTAACCAGGCTTGGAAACCAGAGTTTCAAAACCTCACAAGATCTCCCAACCTGTAGCAGAGACATTTAGGATAAAGGTAATCAAAGTAGAAAGATTTCTTTCACTTGCTCTAGTTACAGTGCCAGCTTGGATGGAAAGTTAAAAAAAAAAAGATCCCCAAAACAAACACACTTGCCTGAATCAAGTTAAGACTGCCTCTTCAGCTGAGACTCCCTGTCGCCTCACTGTTACTATACACTTAAATAAGAATTTCCTTGGAAATAGCCAGACTACTGAAGAACAAGTTATTCTGGGCAAGAGAAACTCTCTCCAGCAACAATATCAAGCAAATACATCATTAAACAAAACCACACACACAAACAAAGCCTGGAGGCAGATTCACAGTACTGAGTTACTTCTGAATCAGAAGACAATGCATTTTCTATTAATTTCACAGCCTCTTAAGAACATTGCAAAACCTGACATCATGCCATACTGAAGAACTGTAAGTTACATAATAGTGTATTTCTAAAAATAAAAGTAATTTAAAATACACAAAAAAGGAAGGTGGGTGTTTCCATGCATTCTTGTTTCTGCAGCTCAGTTTAGCTTTGCAACTATTTTGCTGTAGAACTCTTCCTGGACAGGTAACTAACACCACCAGTTTGCATCTCAAATGCTTCCACTTTGTTCAGGCAAGCCACTCTCAAAAAAATCCTACCGGTTTGACTTCACCACACAGAAAATACTTGATTTGAATCAGTCTTCCAGTGCTTACTTTATTTTCTCTAGCCACTTGCTTTACCTTTTTTCACATCATCCTTAGCTTGATTGAACCTGTGAAAGTCAAACAGCATACGCACCATACGTCTTCAGCGAACAAGCAGTGATGACATGCAGACTATAATATATAATATTTCTGCATTAACTGGTGAAAGATGCCTCTCAAATAAGTAAGCCATGTCCAACAGTACATCACTGCAATGCAAAGCGGGGGTTGCAGCTCTAGGTGTAGCAGATACCTGAATCCAGAGAGAGTAGGGAAATCCTGTCTACCACAGACAGTGTTTTTGCATTTAGGCAAAAGAGCAGCTCCCAGCCTCTGCAGCATTTAGTACTCAGTAAAAACTGAGAGCCACAGTCTCACTTAAAATGCCACAGCCAGGTGCCATCCAAAGACATTTAAGCCACATTTGGCATTGTGCAATCAGTGTGTCAACCTCTCTTATAAATCATGATGCAATGTGTTTGTGAAGGTAGGACCATGAGTCAAAGCCTCTTCTACCAACTCAGATGTATGTAACATCCGTGTGATGTATGTAACATCTATGTAATATTAGGATGTTAAATAGTTTTTATGATTTGACTGTATTTCACTGGAGCTGCCTTTTCTGTTATTTCTGACACCAGCTCTTCGTTCTTTATAAAGGGGAAAGAAACAAATCCAACTACAACGTTACTCCCCCTCAAAAGGTGAGGGGTACAAGTCTCAGTTCCATGTATTTCATTCACCTTATACTGGCTTGTATGCAAAAGCTAACAGAAGGAGGGTTTTCTTTACTGGGGCACATTTTCCTTTTCCATTTGACTCAGGAAGTGCAAACAAAACAAAAAACCCAGGGCTACTATGGAGTGCTATGGTAAAGCAACCTGATTTTTTTTATGTGAAATACAAGTGAAACCAAGAAAGGAAGGAAGGTAATGCAGTAATGGCACAAGGCAGAGTCTTAAGATCTGACTTCAATTTCTGACCCTACTGTAGGCTTCCTGTGCGGTTCTGCAAGATCACTTTACCTTTGTGTCCCTACTGATTCAAAAATGGGATGCTACTACTCCAGCACATGAAGACTAATTTAGAACTGGGTTATCACCAAGGTGAATGTTGCCTATATTCTAACACTGAAGTGTCCACCACAGAAAATCTTAAGCAGCTATAGTGGGGGGTGAGTGAAGCACAGAGCTCTAGATACTAACCTGAGATTTGGGAGAACAGGGTTCTCCTCAGAGCTCCGCATCAAATTTCTTCTGTGACCACGGCCAAGTCACTTTAATGCTGCACCATTTTTAAGATGTAGTAAGATGTAGATAATATACTGCCCTAGTGGATAGCTTTGCTGTGGAGAAGATCAGACTGAAGGAAGCATACACTACTCATACTGGAATAACAGAAGACATCACGTGACACAGTGCTTGGTTCTGCACAGCTCCTTAAACCCGGTCCCATTTAATGCAACACTACCACATGCTCCTTGCTGACCAATTGCAATGAAACTTGCTCTCTTCTGATCTCCCATTTATAACAGTTTCAAAAGTCAGTTTCAAATTAAAGGGTATTTTCTCTTTATTGCTGGTCTAATCAAGCATGATTTTCCTCATCTTTTGAAGTATTTTACAAGATTCACTCATTTAAGATAGTTACAAAGCTGTTTAAAGAACGTATTAAAGTTATTCAAGTAGAATTTAGAGCTCAAGCGTTTTCCCATCTGCAACTGAATTCAGACTTGTGAAGCAAACCACACACTTGTTTCAGTGCTTTGGGTTACATGATTTTTGTTTTAAGGTCATGTCTCTCAAACCACATCTCATTAGCTTCTCTTGCCAAAAAGAGGTGAATGTTTCCATCTGTTCCACTGAAGACACTTCTGCAATTTCACATGGCTCCATGCATTACTATATTGGGAAAATAAAACAAATACACAGCAGTAAGCAGTGCTAGAGTTCACCTTGGCTGGAATTTTATCTTGTCTTACATCCTTGACTATGCATGAATTCCTCCCATCTGGAAAGGAACATGGAATACACAAAAGCAGCAATAAGACCCCCAGAGAGAAAGCAAAGAAAGGAAATCAGAAAAGGTAGGAATAAGAAAGTGGAAGCAAGTTACCTTAGTCCTACTTTTAAAAGAGCAACTGAAAAATTGCTGTTTACAGTCCCTCAGTGGTTTCTATGTCAGATGTGATCAGTTTGCAAATAGAGATGTTGCTAGCCGCAAGACTTCCATGCTCCCTAACAAATTCAGATTAACACTGAAAGTAGCAGTTGCAATCATCCAGAAATGTTTAAAAGAAATCAGGTCATTTATTCAAAGTACTTCTGTAGACATAAATGCCTAATTTGGGCATAAACATTTGCTTTTCACATGGCTGAAGAACTGGTCCAAATAACTTCTGATAGTTTGTACTTCAAATTTTGTCTTTTTCACTTCAGAAACATGCCAAAATGAAAATTTTCCTCATTACTTAAGTTTCCATAGCACTTACCACATCATATCTGTGATAAGCAGCAGAAATCCACATGATCCTAGGATGTTTCCTGGATATTTAAATCTATTGTTCTCTGCAAGCATTCACACCATGAGTCCTTTTATAAGCCACTCAAAATCCAAGTTACAGCTCTTTAGGCTCTTGACCCTGTAAGTCCTTTTCATAAGGTTGTTTCAATACCTCTCATCAGATGGCTGTAAAATATTCTCATCAGATTAAGAATACTCAAGTTTACATCCAGCCATTCTTGTGTCAGGTTTGTCCATTAATTTGTATGTCTCACTGGCTGGCATTTACTCATATCCTGTCATACACAGCACTCGGTCTCCCTGGGAGTCGAACAGGCTGTAAAGAATAGAGACCTGTAGGTAGGAAGGTGGATAAGAAACTGCCTATCACAGCCATAGATAAACAATTAAATTGGAAATAGCCTGTACTCAGTTTTTTCCAGCAGTAGTCTTGACACTGTTTTCCTCGAATATTTTCCATTAATAATCATGGAACAAGAACTAGAAGTGTGCCAATATTAATGAATGCTGTATGATGGAAAAAATAATTACCAATACTAGAAATCATTACCAAATACTACTGAGTCACTTCTAACAGAGTAACAGTCCAAATCCCCCCCAGAAAACAATGAATGTCTCAGCTTCCTGCATTCAGTATTTTTGAAATCTAGGTGCCTTTTAGCAATCATTTTATAAGCTCTGATACTGTTCAAAGTAAAATACAATGAACGACTCAAGCGAAGTATTCAATGAATCCAAACTGAATGTACAACATGGAACTCCAAACTGCTAAGTATTTAAAAGTGATTTAAAAATAAAGTCATTTATTAACTACTCTTGCTCTCTTTAAGCAAGAAAGCGCTAGAAAGATGTTTAAGTTAGCAAGCAAAGTTAAAGAGATCCTTAGTGTTTCAATTCCATTTGTCACAAAGACAAAAGCAAAAAGGCCTGGAGAAAGTGATCCTGGTTTCTGATTTTGAACAGCATGTTGCAAAATCAGAATTATCCTGCTGTATTTGGTGTTGGTGCAGCCTCACCTTGAGTACTGTGCGCAGTCCTGGGCCCCACAGTTTAAGAAGGATGTTAAGGCCCTTGAATGCGTTCAGAGGAGGGCAACAAAGCTGGTGATGGGGCTGGAAGGAATGTCCTGTGAGGAGCGGCTGAGGACTTTGGGCTTGTCTAGTTTGGAGATAAAGAGGCTGAGCAGTGACCTCATTGCCCTCCACAGCTTCCTGAGAAGGCAAAGTGGAGAGGGAGGTGCTGAGCTCTTCTTCCTGGTATCCAGTGACAGGGTGCATAGGAATGGTTCAAAGTTACATCAGGGGAGGTTTAGACTGGACATTAGGAAGCATTTCTTTACCGAGAGGGTGCCCAAGCCTGGAACAGGCTTGCTAGAGAGGTGGTCGATGCCCCAAGCCTGTCCGTGTTTAAGAGGCATTTGGACAATGTCCTTAACAACGTGCTTTAACTTTTGGTTAGCCCTGAATTGGTCAGGCAGTTGGACTAGATGATCATTGGAGGTCCCCTCCAACTGAAATATTCTATCCTAAAATCATTTTAATCTTCCAGCACGAGTGTAAGTAAAGATCGTATATGCATACTCTGAAAACATAAAAACCCTAGTAAGTACCACGTTTCACCGTCTAAAAGATGAAAAGTGGCCAGAAAACACCTAATGAGCATATAGAAACTTCAATAAAACACACACTCAGAATACCTATCCACTTAAGTCACCATTTAGTCTGTAACAATGGACAGTACAGGACACAGAGGAAAAGAGCACAAGACCAGGGAAAGTGTACAAGGTGCACCCTCATATACCCTTGCACTCCCAGTTATCTGTATTTCAGAAGTTTCCTTCCTTGAGTATTAATACTATGGCTTAAAGATGTTGACCTTTCTTCCATGAACTTTAAATGATAAAAGTTTCAGCATCCAAAATATTCTTTGTTAATGAGCTTGCAGTTTATTTTGCCATTGTGTAAAAGAAAATGTTTTAAGCCTATGCTTGATCATTTAACTTTATGCACTTCAATTCCTCCATAATGATGAAATTTCACAGCTGTTCCCAGTTCACCTTTTTTGTTCTACTCAGTTTTATAACCATCACCTTTCCTCCAGTCATCTATTTTCCAGGCTAAACAGATCTAACCTATTTAGAATTTCTTCATGCAGTAATCATTACATAGCTCTCACCATCCTATCTTTTTAAAAAAAAAACTAGGATTATTTTTTTTAAATAAGGTAATACACTTTAATAAGAAAAAACACCGTTTGAGCCACAGGCACATGGTAGATTCCTGAAGCAATATAATGACATTTTCTATTTTATTTTAAGCTTCCAATGTTTGATTTGCCTATTTGCTTGCTACAAAGCATTAAACAGACATTTTGGGGAAATGCTCGCAATTACTTCAGTTAATTGTTTCTTTGGGATACTAACAGCTCAGTTTGAAGCTATTGTGTTTCCCCACATATATGCATGCACATATTTCACACTTTTTATTTGCATTACTCCATACATGTTAATACTGGATTTCACCTCCCATTATCCAGTCCCTTGATATTGCAAAATCTTTTCACAATGCTTTCCCG